TGAACTCAGGTCTTCCAGACTCCATGGCTGGTGCTCCATCCACTGTGTCATCTAGCTGATGTCTTAGTACTTATTAATATTTTAGAGATTATATAAGCTATACTTTTTATATTGCTATAACAAAAAAGATTTTCATGAGAAATAATTGGATCTGTAATACACATGTATGGCTGCTATGCCTCTACTTCTTTCCTCTCAATCTCTTTTTTCTGTAGATTTTATTTTATTTTTAATTTATGAAATGAAATAAGCACTTCCATAACATAATATAAGGAAAAGGATGGTTGCACATGTAACTGCACATCTATTATGTACAACTTGCCATTCCTTTTAAATATATAATAAAGTTATCATATAATTTTCTCCTTTACTTTCTCCCACGCCTCACCCTAGAGATGGCTACCATTAGACACAAATATGTATGTGTCTGTAAAATCATTCTACACATACGTCTATTTTTCATTCTTTGGATGCAGATAGCATCTTCCTTCATTTGTCCTTTGTAGTTAATTTGGATATTTATAATAAAAATAAATTAGTCATTCAAAATTGTTCTTATTGTTACTGTATACCATATTCTCTTGGTTCTGCTCATTTTGCTCTTCATTCTTTTGTGCGAGGCTGTCCATGTTTTTCTAAGATCACTGAGCTCTTCATTTCTTACTGCACAGTAGTATTCCATCACAGTCATATACCACAACTTGTTCAGCCATTCTCCTATTGATGGGCATTACTGCAATTTCTAGTTCTTTGCCACCACAAAGAGAACAGCTGTAAGTATTTTAGAACGTATAGGTTCTTTTCCTTTTTCCCTCATCATCTTCGAAAGTAGACCTAGTAGTGATATTGCTGGGTCACAGGCAGTTTATTTTATTTTTCTTTTCTTTGAGGCAATCAGAATTAAGTAACTTGCCCAGGGTCACACAGCTAGTTAAGTGTCAAGTGTCTGCGGCTGGATTTGAACTCAGGTCTTCCGTGACTCCAAGGCCGAAGCTCTATCCATTGCACCGCCTACCTGCCCCACAGAGGCAGTTTAATAACTCTTTTGGCATAATTCCAAATTGTTCTCCAAAATGTTGGGTCTGTTCACAATTCCACCAAGAATGAATTAGCGACCCAGTTTTTCTTCTTAACTCAGTATTTCAGCTTCCGGTCTCATCATTCATCAGAATGATGTTAACGTTCCAAAATTGCTAGTTGCTGAATGTAATGGTCTCTTCTCAATCCTCATCCTCCTTGACGTTTTTATAGCCTTTTACACTGTCAATCCCCCTCTTCTCCAGAGTATTCTCTTTACCACCTAGCCACCTTTCCAGGCTTCTTATACCTTACTCCCCTGCTATCCAGTGATACTGGCCTCCTGGCTGTTCCACAGTTAAGACACTCCATCTCTTGGCTTTGGACATTTTCTCTTGCTGTCCCCCCATGCCCTGAAATGATCTCCCTCCTCTGCCCTGACTGCTGATCTCCATGGCTTCCTTTAAATCCCAAATAAAATCCTACCTTCTACGGAAGGCTTCCTCTATACTTGTTAATAATTCCAGTGCCTTTCCTTTGTTAATTATTTCCTATGTATGCTGTATATGCTTGTTTGTATATATTTATTTGCATGTTGCCTCTGCCAACCTCCATTAGAGTATTAACTCCTTGAGGCCTCTTTTTATATCCCCAGTGCTTATTAGCACAGTGCCAGGCACATAGTAGGCACTTAATAAATGTTGATTGATCCTCCTAAATAAAAGGCAAGTCTGACCATGTCACCTCCCCTCTCCCACAAGTAAACTCCAGTGGATCACTGTTACCTATAGGATCAAATACAAAATCCTCTGGCATCCAAATCCCTTCATAACTTGGCCTCCTCATACCTTTCCAGACTTTTTGTAATGTATCCCCCTCACTCTTATGTTTTGTTTTTCATTGTTTTATTTCGTACCTTCCCTTTCCTCTCAGCAAGCAAGTCCTTCCCTTTAACTATTTTAAAGAAGAAAACCAAGTTTAGCAAAATTAACTGAATGATCTGTACTCATAATTACCTACTTCTGGAAACACGGGATTGAGATGGGTTTTTTTTTCTCACTTCTTTTCCAGGGCTAATCTTAGATTATAACTGTATAGCATGTTTTGCTTTCTTATTATTTCTGTTTACATTGTTATGGTCAATGTATATTATCTTTCTGGTTCTATTTATGTCACTCTACATCAGTTCCTTTAAGTCTTCTCAAATCTTCTCTGAAATTGTTCATATTCATTATTTCCAATTGCATAATTACATTCATGTACCATAATTTGTTTAACCATTTCCCATTCGGTGGGCATATAATTTGTTTCCAGTTCTTTGCCATCATAAAAATGTGTTATGCATGCATACATGCTTACATGCATGCATACGTACGTGTATGTGTATATATACATGTGCATACACACATATATAGGTATATTTTTTGCCTTTATTTCTGTCTTCCTTGGGTTTTATACATGGCAGTATGAGCTCTGGTTTAATGTTAGTTTAGACACCTATAAAGAATAATTCCAAGTTTTTTTTTTTGAATGGTTTGATCAGTTCATTTATGTGCCTGCCTCTTTTTCATTGTCTCCACTATTATCTGCTTTATTATTTATTACCTATATTTTTGTTATTCTGTTCCATAGCTATAGCTATGAAAAGTACTTGATCTTATTTTCTAATTTTTATTACAGTGTGACATTTAATATTCTAGTCATGACTCCATTTTGAGCTTATTGTGGTATATAGTGTGACACGTAGTTCTAAATTGCTTTCTAGCTTTCTCAGCAATCTTTGCCACATAAAGAGTTCTTTTTCAAGGACTTTATGTTTGCAGGTATATTGTGAACACTAGGATATTGAGTTTGATTTTTTTTCCTGATTCTTGCTTATTCAGTCTATTTCACTGTTTCACTTTTGTATTTTTTAGCCAGTAACAAAGTCTTAATGAATACTATTTTATAAAATAGTTTGAGATTGGAACATGCTATTTCTCCCCTTCGTTCCTAATTTTAAAAGTTATATACCTTGAAATTTTAGATCATTTATTTTCCTCCAAATATCTTTGATATTTATTTTTAGTCCAATAAGGTATCTCTTTGATATTTTGGAATAGCACTAAATCTGTAAATCAACTTGGGAAGCCTCATAATTTTTATTATACTGATGTGGCCCAATTGTGAATGCTGTCTCTTAAGTATTTGTTATTCTTTATCACTTTAAATAGTGTTTGGAGTTTATACTTATGCATCTTGAATGTGCCTTATAAGTTGAGTCCCAGATATTGTATGTATTTTTATTTATTTCTAATGACTTTTCTTTCTGTGATTTCCTCCTGTATTTTATTATTGTTATTAAGAAATACATTTATTTTCATTTGTTTTAAATCCTACTATGTTACTGTTGCTTTTAATATCTCAATATATGCTTTTAAAAATTAATTTCAAAATTACTACCATCACACAGTTAAAGTAAATCTTTGATAGAATTCACTTCATGCTATAGGTTTAAGTCTTGAAAATATGTGTGTGAACTGGGTTCTGTTTTTTCATTGATAGAATTTATCTTCATCTCTTTTTTACATAGCCTTTCTGTCAAGTTGTAAATTTGGGGGGGAGGTGTCAGGGAATACCTTAATGCATGAGAGATGTTTTTACATAAAGGAATTCTGTGGTAAAGATTTTTGTAATTAACTTTGTAAAAATTTATTTTAAACTTTTTACATATCTTCATGCTTTAATTGTGGCCTGGAGGTGACCCTAGGTTCTTAAAGGCATGGCAGCCAGACTAGCTAAGTTCAGAGATGAATTCATCATTGTATTAGCCAGAGAGAACTGACTTTTTCAACCAGATCAATTCTTTAAAATAGTTCACAGGGGAAGCTGTGTGCCTAAGTAAATAGAGCTCTAACCTTAGAGTCAGGAAGACCTGAGTTCAAATGTGGCCTCAGACACATGACATTTAACTAGCTGTGTGACCCTGGGCAAGTCACTCAACCCCATTGCCTAGCCAAAAAGCAATAAAATAAAATAAAATAGCTTACTAAGCCAGGGTGGTAGAAATGTTTACCTCCCCCAAATCATTTGTTCTTGAAGTATGAAAGTAGATTTATTCAGTGAGGAAACAAACGCCTTTATATATAATTCATGATTAGTGCATTGGAAGGGTCAGGGATAATAACATGAATCATTGAAATTTAACATATAACACTGTTGAAGCTTTTTTTTCCACATGACTTACCAAAATACTTATCTTAACTCTTTAGTTTAACTGTATCTTTGCCCATCTGCAAAGGAATAGGAAGATGGAGAACTTACAAGTGACTTGAATAATTTGTGAAAATGAATTATTGAACATTGAATAATTGAAAGTTAGTTATAGAATGACAATTTTTAAAACAGCATTAAAGTAATAGTGATTAAGGCCATCTGCTCTATTTTTGTATGGGAGCCCAAAAAGGAACTTTTGAAAAATTCCTTTTAATTCTTTGTTTTTTAAATGTACAAATTAATCAGTTTTAACATTGGGAGTTTTTAAGATATTGTTTTGGAGCCTAAAAGTTTTGGAATATAAATTTTGAAAGGAATACTTATTTTTGTTTTAAGAAGCATATTTACTATTTTAATGATTTCTGTCCGTCTTCATCCTCTGGAGTAAACTTATTTTTCAGGCTTCAGTCTTAGCATCAGATTTAAGCCAAAAGTTGGCTAACATTTTAGAATATCAATGTCATCGTATCATACTTTCCTTATCTAATATTATACATGTAATTATTTTTACAGGATATATCAGTATTTGGATTATCCATCAGAAGTGCCTACAATTTAATAGAAATGTGCTTGAATATAAATTTTTAATGAATTGAATTCATTATATGTATTGGCATTCAAAGATTTGGGGGAGTGTTGGGGGAGGTGTGAAGATATTTTGATTTAATATAACCTTATTCCCAATCTTTACTTCATTTTACCTAACTTCTTTTATTTTATTATCATAGGAATCCTGAGACCTGTGATGAGGGAACAATAGCTGCTTACTGAATGAAGATTTCAACTTCTTGCTACTGTGGACCCATTTATTAAGGAATCCATCTGTCTTTCCTTAGTTAATATTTTATCACCTTCATAGACTGTGTTATCTTGAAGTTTTCCTGATTCCTTCTTTCTTAGAAGAATTTCTAAAGAATTTCTAGTCAGAATGTAACAGTTGATCAATGTCTGATTGCTGTACAAGCCAATAGATTACTATTCCCTTTCGAAAGTTATATCTTATTCACCTCAAAAAACAGTCTTTAACGTAAATAGAAACCAAGTCCTTGTTGAATACTTTTATTGAACATGACTCATGGAGAAGAGCTTGGCTCTGATATGCACCAGGATCCTATTGTTTTAACTTACCTAGAAGGATTACTAATGCATCAGGCAGCAGCAAGGTCAGCTACTGTAGTTGACAAAAAGTCTACTGGGCATAGTGGAGAGGATCAAAACTTCAAGATTTCTGGAAATATATTTCCCATCTGTCAAAATAATGGTCCAAGTCTCAACACAACAACTTATCAGGGATCTGGTATGCTGCATCTCAAAAAAGCAAGATTATTACAGTCTTCTGAGGACTGGAATGCAGCAAAGAGGAGGCGGTTGTCTGATTCAATTGTGGATTTAAATGTAAAACAGGAAGCTTTGCTAGCTGGCATGGTTGAAAATGTGCCTAAAGGCAAACAGGATAGCACATTACTTGCCTCTTTGCTTCAGTCTTTCAGCTCTAGGCTGCAAAGTGTTGCTCTGTCACAGCAGATTAGGCAGAGCCTCAAGGAGCAAGGATATTCCCTCAGCCATGATTCTTTAAAAGTGGAGAAAGATTTAAGGTGCTATGGTGTTGCATCAAGTCACTTAAAAACTCTTTTGAAGAAAAGTAAAAGTAAAGATCAAAAGCCTGATGCTAATATATCTGATGTAACTAAAAATCTAATCAAAGATGGATTTATAGAGTTACCCCATACTGGACAGAGCGGAGCAAAAGTAATTAATGAACCCTTGTCATGTGCTGCAAGACTCCAGGCTGTTGCAAGCATGGTTGAGAAAAGGTCTAGTCCTGCTACTTCACCTAAGCCTAGTGTTGCTTGTAGCCAGTTAGCATTACTTCTTTCCAGTGAAGCTCATTTACAGCAGTATTCTCGGGAACATGCTTTAAAAGCACAGAATGCAAATCAGGTGGCAAGTGAAAGGCTTGCTGCTATGGCTAGACTACAAGAAAGTGGCCAGAAGGACCTTGTCCATTTTCCATTGTCAAAAGGATTGTCAAGCCATCTTAATGGTCAAGCAAGATCATCATCAAATAAACCAGTAGCTGACAAAAACATTACAGCTTTCCAAAGTCCAGTGGGAATCCTTCCTTCTCCTCCCAGAAATGCAGAATATAAGAACACACTGGAGAGAAACAGTTTAAAACCAGCTGCCAATAATAGTTTGCTTTTACATCTTCTTAAAAGCCAGAATATAGCTAAACCAACTAGTGGACATGATCAGGAGAGAGTTAACATTTTTGAAGATAGCAGTACACCCACAACTATTGATGAATATTCAGACAATAACCCTAGTTTTACAGAAGATGACAGCAGTGGTGATGAAAGTTCTCACTCTAACTGTGTCCCCATAGATTTATCTTTCAAGCATCGAATTGAAAAACCAGAGTCCAGCCAGCCTGCCTCTCTAGATAATCTTACTCAATCCTTGCTAAATACTTGGGATCCAAAAGTTCCAGGTCTCAGTATCAAAGAAGACAGAGACACCTCCAAAAATCCTAAATTGAATCCTCACCAAAAAGTAACACTTCTTCAGCTGTTACTTGGACATAAGAATGAAGAAAATCTAGAAAAAACAACTGGTTCTCAGGGATCACATAGTAATGTGACAAAATTCAGTGCACAAAGTAGTAAGAGGACTCCTGTAATAGAAAGTCCCAGCATAAATCAAGCTACTCCAGTGAGCACTCCACCATTGCTTGCATCTGCAAAAGCAGATTCGCCTATAAATCTTTCTCAGCAGTCTGTAGTCAAACACAGTTCACCCCAGTATGTTTGTAATGTTCAACCCAAAAGAATGATGAATCCAGTGTCTAAACACTTGATAGACCTTACCAAAAGTAAAGAATTGCAAGGAACAAATAAACCAAACCAAAGTGACAGTGCACAAAATTCTACAACTTTCAGTGCCAGCAAGCTGTTACAAAATTTGGCTCAGTGTGGAATGCAGTCTTCTGTGTCAGTGGAAGATCAAAGAACAAGCAAACATCTGTTAAATGTAAACATAGATAAACCTGTAGGTTTGATTGATAGACTAAGTAATCCTCTACTCACAAATAAACCAAATATACTTGAAGAAAATAATAAAGCATTCAACAGTCAGTCAACAGCTCCTGAACCAGGACTCTCTGGTTCTGAAATAGAAAATTTGCTTGAAAGACGGACAGTTCTTCAGTTACTACTAGGAAACCCCAACAAAAGTAAAAATGAAAAAAAGGAACGAATTTCTTTAAGAGATGAAAGTTCTCAAAACCATACAGATAAAGCTTTAAGTGAGCAAATATTAACAGTAAAAATAAAATCTGAACCTTGTGAGGATTCACATATCTTCCATAATGTGAATGTCCATCAGAGCCAAGATGCAATAAGTAACAAATTTATAGGTGTGGTTCCTGCTCTGCAGAGAAGTGCAGCTGCTTCACCAGCATCTGAGGACTTCAAATCAGAGCCTCTTTCACCTCAGGACTTTTCTTTTTCTAAGAATGGCCTGTTAAGTCGATTATTGAGACAGAATCAAGAGGTTTACCCTGCAGATGATCTGGACAGAAGTCACAGGAACAGTGAACTGACTCTTTTAGAGTCAAAAAGTCTTTACACAGTTCCTAAAAAAAGGAAACTTCATATTGAGCCTTCAGAAAGTCCATTTAAAAAAAAGATGAAAAGTTATACGTCTGATGGTGCAAATAATCATAATCCTTCTACAGAATTGTATGGGCCTTTGCTTAACAAACAAGAAATGAAATGTAACAGAAATGATCTTGAATTTAAATATCCAGCCTGTCATGGTTCAAATAATGAACATGAAAATAGGAATTGGTCTAGAGATAGTAAAGGCTTTAATGTGTTGAAACAGTTGCTTCTCTCAGAAAATTGTGTGAGAGATTTGTCACAGCATAGGAATAACACTGTAACTGATGTTAAGAAGAAAGGAAACAAAAATAATGTAATCAATAGCAAATCTGAATTTAACATTTCTTCTTTAAATGGAGTCATGAATCATTCTGGTCAACTTGGTAATTGTATAGATAATGGGACATTTCCATACCCAGTAGCAGTAAGGAGCGCTGCCAGTTCTCCCTACCAGTGCTCTCCTGAACACATGGGCAGTACAGTATCTAGACAAGAATCTGGGCAGTTAAGTGTGTGTCCTATTCCCAGTGAAAAGGGTCCCATTAAGTGGGTTATTACAGGTATGGATAAGAATGAATGTGAAAAGGACTCACCAAGACTGACTAAAACCAACCCAATTCTGTATTATATGCTACAGAAAGGGGGTAATTCTGTTAGCAACCAAGAAGCACATGACAAGGACATTTGGAATGAGTCATTTGCAAAAAATGCTACACAGGTTACAGTCAAGGAAGAGTTGCTTCCTGCTGCAGAGACTAAAGTTTCTTTCTTTAATTTAAGAAGCCCTTACAATAGCCATATGGGGAATGCAGCTTCCCACCCACATAATACAAATGGAGAAGTTTATGGACTCCTGGAAAAAGTACTAACTATAAAAAAAGAGTCTGAATAAAATCTGTCTGCCATCAAGATTTGAGTCTTTGTAAAACTAATATGAACTTGAGTACTTTATAAATAAGAGCATGATTTGAAAATAGCATGTTCTAATTGAATTTATTTTTCTTCATTTGGAAAATTATTGGTTACTGGTGATGTTTAAAATAGGCATAGCTTCCTTTTGCTTTACATTGCTATCACAGGAAACTACTGAATAAGCAGTTGGTTGCATAACTTCTGTATGCATCTAACAGCGCCTGTGAGTAGTATGTGAATGAAGTTTTTTTTCAACTACCAGTAATTTAAATACACATAAATTAAAATGTAAATCTGAATCCATGGTAGCAGTAATTCATTTTCTTCCAATTTGTGTACTATGATACTGAATCTCATTTTGGGGAAGCATAAACAGAGCTAGCATTTCGTACATCTATCTATATATCTATATCTATATACACACACAAACTATATATGTGTGTTTTTTAAAGGCTTACTTTTAAAAAAGTAATTGTTCAATGGAAAAACATAGTGCCTGCTTATTTCTTATTATTCAATCCAAAAAAGAAACTTTAGAGAGATCTATTGAAAGTTTTCAGTTGCTCAAAAAAAAAATTTTTTTTTACAGGTTTTTTCTTGACTGTTTCTAATCCATTTCCCACCAACTTCTCCCCTATAGCATTGCCATGTTTCCCTTCATTATATATTTTCTTTTAAATTCTTAGTACTTATTTAGTCAATATGAGTAATATGAAGGGGGGGAGGGACTGATAGCTCCTTTTTAAGAAAGCATTTTTTATCTTTTATTCCCTTTCCACCCAATTGCATTCTTTCCTTTTTTAGAATTGGGAACTCTAAAATGTTGCTTATAATATGCTTGATGTTTGGGATTTCTCAGAAATGATGTTTTGTAACAAAATCAAAATGCTTTACCTCTAATTCTGTCATCTTTTCACATTTCAGCTTGCCTTGTTTGCAAATCATAACTATGACATTTCCTTTGATTCTTGTGGTTCTCCCAAGAATATAGAACAAGATTGTTGAAGCCAGTATTACTTCCTAAAACAAATTTTACCTGGATGTCTACACCTTAAGGGTGCCTTAAGGTTCGTTCACACAATATCCTTACATCTTTGGAAATCTAGGTTCAAAACTCTTTTTTTATAATAATAAATTTAGGTGGGAGGGCTTATAACCTTAGTATTTGGTTACTGTCTCAGGAAAACTCACTGTTTGTCTCAATTAGCTACATCTGTGTGAGTGACCGTAAAGTGGGAATAGATCCCCAACAGCCCCAGACAGAGGTGCTCTGGTTACAATACGGCATGCACAATTTAGGGATCACACAGTGATGGATTTTAGAGGTGAAATTGACCTCAACGGCCACCTAGTCCAACTCTCTTGATTTTACAGATGAGGAAACTGAGGCCTGGGGAGGTTAAATGACTTGCCTGAGGTTTTACAGGTAGTGACCATCAGAGGCAGGATTTGAAGCCAGGTCCTCTGATTCCAGAGCCAGCACTCTTTCCACTGTACCACACTGCCTCCACTTTTACTGAATATATCCTTAACTTCCACAAGAAGCAGTCACACAAGAAAAGTGCTAACATTTTGTTGAAACCCAAGAAAAATAATAGCAGATTTAGCCTAAATAATAGGAAGCACACTGGGATAACTAACAAACATCAAGAAATGCAACCATTAGTTCTGATTGAAAAGTAGATCTTAATTTTATTTACATGAAGCTTAATAGTTTATTGGGCTTATATAGTTCAGGAAGTTTGCATTTTTAAAACCACTGTGTAACAATTACAAACTCCTTTTTTACAACCCAAGCTTCAGTCACCATATTTTACCCAAATCTTAGGTTTTTTGTTTTGATTTTAAGTATGAGCCATTTTAGTAACTGGCCCTGTAAGGACAGGAACTTGTGGTGCAATTAACCATTAACTAGAAGAAATCTAATTTAGGGTGTTACTAAAGTAGTTTGATAATTTTTATATGAAAGATTCAGTATAATATAAGAAAAGGGGGTTTACTGTACTTATTGAACGTCTGTTTAAAGTCTTAAGTGATTATTTTTCTCAGAATGGTTTGTAAATAGTTATGGAATCTATAGAATAATAGATAACCCAGAGTAAATAATGGGCTATATCAGGGTGACATGGAGGCATGCACTTTTCTTATTGTGAAATGAGAATTGTTCTAATGGTCAGTGAATATATGCATGGAGAAAATGTTGTACTCCATCTCATATTTACTGTGTGGTGATCTATTATCTATAATATATACTTAAACTTTTAAATAATTTTTAAAGATTTTTAAAGTTAAAATGTTAACTTTTTCATCGTTAACAATTTAGCTGTCCCTTTAAATGATGTCAATGAAAGGGCACTAGAGCTCTTACAGTCCACAAACAGGCCTCTTTCTCACCCAACATATGCTTCCAGAATTTCTTCCTATACATTGCATTTCTAACAGCACACATTGTTTACTATTGTACCAACTTAGATGAGATGTAAGGATAGTGAATACAATGCTAGTTAACAGGGATTACTGAAGGAGGTATGTTTTGAGGTGACAATTTCAAAAGGGCTAGAAACTGTAAAATATGAGTTCAATAAAAATCCCTCTTCCCTTAAGCAAAATAATGGTTCTTATGGGGAGGGAGGTTTAGTCCTTGAAAACAATAGGAAACCAGAATTGCTTATTATTTTTGGTAACAAATAAAGGGTATATAAATATGCAGTATATAATATGACTTCAAGAAATATAACACTAATTCACTACAGGAAGTTCCCACTTGATATTTTAAAGAAAGAAAATTCAGTACATTCACATTGTTTATGCAAGGTTATATACATAGACATTTTTTAGAAATCAATTTTAGATATACAGTTTCCCCTAATTAAGACTTATTTGTGGAAGGGTACTACAGCTCTCATTGACATCAGTAAGGTAGCTTTACTACTTTATTTTCTGCTGCATCTTACAGAAGAGTAAACTGTTTTTCATATATATGTGTGTGTGTGTGTGTATATATATATACATATATCGTGTGTATGTATATATATGTATATATACACACACATAGAGAGTGTGTGTACATATATTGACTTGTTACACATGTTAAAATTGGTTTTTAAAAGGTGATGTAAATAGTGATTTCCTTAATGAAAAATACATATTTTGTATTGTTCTAATTCAGAGGAAAAGCCTTTTAATCTCTTTAAGTTCTGTATAGCTAATGTATAAGTGTAAATATGATCAGATAGGTTTAAATTTTTTTGCATGTACGTATATGGTTGCAAGTCTGGGAAGAATGTATAAAATAAACTTTTTATTTAAAGTTGTGATTACCTGCTGCATGAAACGTGCATGGGGGACCCTGTGCATACGGCAAAATGTCTTAAATCAGATGTTCATCAAAAACAACAGTATTCCATTTCAGGACATAACTTTTTTTTGCTGTGGTATTTTAGCTTTGTGAAAGAACATGTTTTGAATCCAAATGTCTAAAAGAATCAAATTAATGACATTTTCAACATAAAGAACCCACACAACTAAGGTCATCAAGTTTTAATTCCATTGAAAACAAAAACAAAAAATTGTATCAGGAGTTTTCCAATACTAGGAAAATAATGGAATATTGTATTACCATTCATGATATAAATTATGAGGTTTACACAACCAGTTTTGTTATGATGTGCTCAATATAACTTGTCATTTTTTATTAGAAATTTTTTTCATGTGGTGTCATGAAACTGTGCATACTGCAGTGTGAAGTTTTTTGTTCATTTGTTTTTGTTTTTAAATCTTTTGGTGTTTACTTCCTGCAGTGGATTTGAATAAATGAGAAAATGCATTGTCTTGTTTGGAATGAGTTTTATTTTGGTCTTTATCTAGTTCTTGTTTTTTACTAATAATAGAATATGTAAATGAAAGGCCTTGAACATGAAAATAAATCTTCGAAATTTTTTTTTGTGCCCTTCTGAGAAAAAAAAATGGTAAAACTACTAGTTATCAGGTTAGTACAACCTGTAAGAGTGCAGTTAATGAATTATAAAACATCATATCCTAATATTTTGGTAGTATATAATAAATTTAATTCACTCAGTTTATACATTACCATTATAGCAATTGAAATTCAAGTTTATGTGTGTATTATTTATCTTTATTCTGTACTCATTTTTTTTGAAGATATGATTTTTATTGTTTTTGAAAAAAGCAAAAATGGAATGTTATATTAATTGGTCTAATACATTTTAAAATCAAGTGAGACAGTCAGCAAGAAAGACGTTTTCTCATCTTTGTGTTCACACAAATAGCCTTAGTATGTGCTGTCCTAGAGAAAACAGATTTTTCTTAGTTATACACTGAAGTTTGTATTAATTATGTCACCATGTAGCTAGGTGGCACAGTGAATAGAATGCCAGGCCTGGAATTGGGAAGACTCATCTTCCTGAGTTCAAATCTGGCCTCAGATACTTCTTAGTTATTGTTCTGTACCCATTCTCAAGAGTAGTATCTGAAGATAGTTTTCCTTTTTTGTTTTTGACTGTTTTTCATTGAATCATGTTTTTTAAGTAATAAATTTTGAGGTGTTATTTTCAGCAATGGACCACTGAAATGGATATGATAGGAAGGAATCACAGATCTAGAAGGGAAAAGGCAGGCAGTATGGAACAGCACACACACTGTTGCAATCAGATATGAAAATAAAACATTTAATGTCAGACATTTCGATAGGAAATTAAGGATCCTGCCATAAAGTTCCACTGTTTTATATAGGTATACTTGGGCGTGTTTATTTCACAAGCATCCAATTTTCAGCCAACTTGTCCTTAGCGTCGTTAGCTAGCTTGAATTTTTAACCACAAAATTTTAACCTAAGCACATACAAACTACTGGTATTGTGCACTTTCCAACAAGTCTTCTGCTGGTAGGAGCAATTACTAATTATTATTCGGGCTGAATGTAATTTTCATGTGTCTTCTATTCAGGGATTTTGGGTTGAGTGCCCCTATTATTGAATGACTTTTTTTCAATATTTCAACTAATAACCTTGTAGCCCAAGTTGGAATTTTCAGTGGTTTTAACA